ACCATTCTTGCTTTAGAAAGTAACTCATTCTGAATTGTTCTTTAACATTCCCTTCCTGTTTTTCTCCCATGCTTGTGCTAGACCGATGATGTCCATGCAAAAGATAACACAAGACCTGGGGCCAACAGTGCAGGTGAGCCACGAGCCAGTGACCAGCGAGAAGGCTGGGAGCTTTGGCAATGAACCATTTTGCTGGGTTGAATGTATGCTCTGTTGGTTCTCACGAAGGACAAGAAGGGACCTGCCAAACTAGAATAGGAAATTTGAAAAGAGAGCAACACAAAGAAGTGGAGAAAATGCTGATAGCACTCTGTGCATAGGAATATTAATTCCTGAACCTAGACAGCAGTCTCCTGGCCTCTGTATCACAACTGTCTTGGATTATGGGATGCTTATGGGTTAGAACACCAGCACATTTCTTGGGAGGCAGATTTTTTTTCTTTTAAAGACCTTAAAAAAAAAACAATAAAAATGCTGGAGAATTTGAAAATAAGATGATAGGAAATTAATAATGGTTACTATATTGCATATTGTTATCTTCAAAGTAGTTGCTCAGATTACCAGATATAGGCATGTAAGATTGATCAAATAACATCTTAGCTATCTTATATGTATATAACATATATATATAATTTTTTCTGTTTTTCTCCTTTTGCTCATCCCACTTCTTTCCTTTTTGAGCAGTTTGTTTCCCTTTCACAATGTTTGTTGTACTTTTTACATCTTATTTACTCTTTTAGTTTCTTATACTAGGGAGACAATATGATGTTTACACATGTGAGTCTGATTTATTTCACTTACGAGTATGGTCTCCAGTTGCTTCCACTTACCTATAAAAGCCTTGAATTTATCTTTCTTTATAGCTGAGTAATACTCCATTGTATGAAAATACCAATCTTTTTTATCCATTCTTCAGTGGATGGACATTTGGGTTGATTTCAAGATTTAGCTGTGACAAACTGCTGCTATAAACATGGGTGCTCCTATATCGCTGTGCTATGGTGTTTTTAATTTTTCTGGGAAAATACCCGGAAGGGGAATAACTCGGTCAAATGGGCCCTCTAATCCTAGTTTGTTGAGGAGTCTCCGCACTGATTTACACAGTGGTTATACCAGTCTACATTCCCACCAACAGTGGAGAAAGGTCCCTTTTACCCAGCAGCTCTTCCAGCATTTGTTATTGGTTGATTTCTTGATAATAGCCATCCCTTCTGGGGTGAGATGGAATCTCATTGCTTTAATTTGCATTTCTCAATGACTGATGATGTTGAACATTTTTTCATACTTTTATTTGCCATTTGTATTTCTTCATCTGAGAAGTGTGTATTCATCTCAGATGCCATTTTTGGATTGGGTCTTTAGATTTTGGGGCTTTGAGGTTTTTTTAATTCTTTGAATGTTCTAGATAGACGTCCTTTGTCTGAGGGACAGTTGGCTAAAACTTTTTCCCAATTTGTGGGTTTTCTTTTCACTTTGTTGGTGATTTATTTTGATGTACAAAAACTTTTTAATGAGATGAGATACCAGTTGTTGATTCCTTGAGGTATTTCCCTTGCAGTTTGCTTTTGTTCATGACCTCTCTGCCTACCCCTATGTCTTCAAGATTTCTCTCTACATTCTCATGGATCAAGTGTTTCTGTTTTAATATTTAGATCTTTGATCTATTTTGACTTTAGCTTAGTGCATAGTGATAGACATGGGTCTAGTTTTAGTTTTTGGCATGTGGATAGCCAGTTTTACCAGCACCATTTATTCAAGAGGCTTTCTTCCAGTGAACATGTTTGGCCCCTTTGTCAAAGATAAGATAGCTCAGTGTGTTTGTAGTGTGTCTGCATCTTGTAATCTGTTCCATTGATCCTCAGGTCTATTTTTTTGCCACTACCATGCTGATTTTATCACTATAGCTTTGTAATATAATTTCAAGTCAGGGATTGTGATGCCTCCTGCCTTGTCTTTGTTGCCCAGGATTGCCTTTGCTATTTTAGGTCTCTTCTGGTTCCAGATAAATTTTAGGAATGTTTTGTCTAGCTCTGTGAGGTATGCTAGTGGTATTTTGATCAGGATTGCATTAAATTTGTATAACAGCTTTGGGAGTATGACCATTTTTACAATGTTGGTTCTTCCTACTATGAACAAGGATATCTTTCCATTTTCTGAAATCCTACTCAATCTCTTTTTTTCAGAGTATTGTAATTTTCAAAGTAAAGATCTTTTACTTCCTTTGTTACATTGGTTCCTAAGTATTTCATTTTTTTGGATGCTATTGTGAAGGGTGTGGTTTCTCTGATTTCTGTCTGTGAGTTTGTTGTTTGTGTACAGGAATGCTTTTGATTTTTGAGTGCTGACTTTGTATTTAGCTGTGCTCCTGAGTTTGGTTATTCTAGGAGTCTTTTCCTGGAGTTTTTGGACTCTTCTATGTAGAGTATTGTGTCATCTGCAAATAATGATAATTTAACTTCTTTCTTTCCTGTTTTTATTCCTTTTATTTCTCTCTCTTTTCTAATTACTCTGGCTGATGTTTCCAGAAGGTGGCTGGGCAGGGTAGCGCATGCCTATAATCCCGGCACTTGGGAGGCTGAAGCAGCAGGATTTTTGCGAATTCAAGGCCAGCCTGGGCTACCAAGTGAGCTCAAGGTCAGCCTGAATTGCATAGTGAGAGCCTGTCTCAAAAAGACAAAAAGAAAAAAAAAAGAAAAGGAGTGGTGACAGTGAGCATCCTTGTCTTATTCCTGATTTTATTTATTTATTTATTTTTTCTTATTCCTGATTTTAGAGTGAAAGTTTTCGGTTTTTGTCCATTTAGTATGATGTTGACTGTTGGTTTGTCATAGATGGCTTTTATTGGATTGAGATAAAGACTATTTTGATTTTCTATAGGGTTTTTATCATGAATGAGTGTTGGACTTTGTTTCTTTGGTTTTTTTGGTTTTTTTCCTGTACCAGGAATTGAACTCATAACCTTGCGCTTGCCAGGCAGGCACTGTGCCGCTGAGCTAAATCCCCAACCCCGAGTGTTGGCCTTTGTCAAAAGTCTTTTCTGCATCTGTTGAGATGATCATGTGGTTTTTCTCTTTGGCTCTGTTGATATGGTGTATTACATTTATTGATTTACCATCCCTGTATCCCTGGGATGAATCCCACTTGGTAATGGTGTATAATCTCCTTAATGATTTGCTGCATTTTGTTTGCTCGATGTTTTTATTGACCCTGAGACTGCAGAAGAAAGGTCCAGTTATAACAGTAAATAGCAGTGCCTTTAATTACAACAATTGAGAAATACAGCAGTGATGTGGTTTTGTTTTGGTTTGGTTTGCTTTGTTTTTCCGGTACCGGGAATTGAACCCACGACCTTGCGCTTGCCAGGCAGGTGCTGTGCCGCTGAGCTAAATCCCCAGCCCCAATGTGGTTTTGTTTACTGATGGTTTTTTTAGTGGTAAAATATGCGTAATATAAGCTTTACCATTTTAACTTCTTGGTATCTGTCTTTGTGCTCTTAAGTAAATTTACATTGTACAGCCATCCTGCGATCTACCGCTAGAACTGTCTTCTGTTCCTACAGCGAAGCATCATCCACTAGATTTTTATCAGTTTGTAAAAAAAGCCTAACATTAAGTTAGTGCAGACCCTTCTGTACAGAGCTGAGGCTGCTTGTTTCATGCACAAAGTGTTGGAAAACTTGGTAAAAATACGGGGGATGCAAGGACGGCGCTGAAACTAAAAGCACGGTTCTTGAGCCTGTTGGCTTCACAGGGTGTCAGGTGTCGCATGTGGACTCCGGGCAGGGTCAGTATGCATTTGCTTCTTGGTTGAACTTGCTGATGTGTGGGGGACTTGTGTCTAGAAAGTGCATCTCTGAACTCCAAAGAGCGTTCCCTTGAACTGTTTCATGTCTAAGTTTACATGGTACATGTACAAGTCACACATCCTGTTGGAGAAAAGTAAAATCTGCGGTTCACTGTTGGGAGTACGTTTTCTAACATTCTATTTTTGATTGCTTCCTGTGTTTTACTTGTAAAAACTTTTGCTTAGCTTATGCTACAATCAGAGAGGCCCAGGGAGACCTTAGAGAAAAAGGTAGGGTGGAATTAGGGAGCTGTGGAGTAGCAGCTGCAGCACAGCCTCGTGTGGAGAGGGAGGAGGAGCACAGTGACTAGGAAGTTACTGGTCAGGTTCCCTGTTAAGCTTTTTTGTTTTGTTTAGTTTTTTTGTTTTTCTGCCGGTACCAAGAATTGAACTCACAACCTTGCGCTTGCCAGGCAGGCGCTGTGCCACTGAGCTAAATCCCCAGACACCCCCCCACCCCCGGGTTAAGCTTTTTAATCTGTAGACTACATTGTAGATTTCCTGGTGTTCAAATTGAGTCAGAAAGTAGATTATTTTTAAGGAGGGTTAAAATAATCAACATAGTAACCCCTCAGGGAAGTTAATGCTAGGAAGGTTGTAACTAGCTCTCCATAATGTGTTTCTGTGAATGGGTGTGTGTGTCTGTGTGCATTTCCTTTTAAGAGGCATGGTTGTGTTTGTGTATCCCACAAAGTAGCATAAGAAATGACAGAAATAAATGGATGGGCTTACCCAGCACTTCACCTTCTCTTACATTTTGTTTCTCACAGAGCAGAATATTTTAGAGAGTTAAGCAGTACATCTGTGACGGACTCTATTTGTAGCAAGTTCAGGTGGAGGTTCTGTGGATGTTGTTGTTGATGTTGCTGATGTGTTGCCGGTATTGCAGAGATGTGGTCTGAAGCTATCAAAGTCCTGAAGGGGGAGTATACCGTCCGGGCCATCAAGGAACACAAGATGGACCAAGCGATCATCTTCTGCAGAACCAAGATCGACTGTGATAACTTGGAGCAGTACTTTATGCAGCAAGGAGGAGGTAGTGTTTCCTCGCTTGACATACATTGGGTTCCTTTCCTAAATGCTCCTGTAGGGGGCTGGGGATTTAGCTCAGCGGCAAAAGCGCCTGCCTGGCAAGCACAAGGTCGTGAGTTCGGTTCCCGGTACCGGAGAAAAACCAAAAGCCAAAAACCAAAACTAAATGCTCCTGTAGTGGTGCACGTAGCATGCGTGCCTGGGAGTGCTAGCAGCGATGGCACGTTGTCAACATCTGTGTTTACCCAGTCTTTTCCGTTAGATCAGGCTTAGGAAAAGCAGTGAACTTTCTAGAAAGACCAGTCTGGACTGCAGTGTGCTGAGGCCTCACGTCATTTGCGAGACATGTAAGGTCTTTAATACTAAATTGTAAAATGTAATCAGTAACCTAATAGAACCTGTGTTCTCTAAACTAGTGAATAAGGACAGTGACACAGAGGGGAAAAGCCCTAATCAAAGAAGGCCGAGAAAAGATGAGGGAAAATAGCAAAAGGATGGTTAGGAATTACAGAGTAAGACCAGTTGTGGGAAACTTCCAAATGTGTGAGTAAACACTGTTTCAGTGGACCAGAGTCGTCTGCTGGAAGGCGGAGTGTGTTGTGCCGGGTGACACTTACCTGTGTGATGTCTGCAAGGAACATTCTTAAAACCTGAGGACAGGGAAAGAGTGAAAGGAAAGGGAATAAAATAGTTAATACGGCACAGTACTAATGAAAAGTAGCTGGTCTGGCTGTATCAATAAGAGATGCAGTAAATGGTAAGACAAAATTACTACTCAAAGGGTTATTAGTGTAATAAAATAGTCTTCAGTGAAGATGTAATGACCAATTGTGTGCACCTTACAACATTCAGTATGTGAGTCAACATGGAACATGTTTAATCAGTTCTGAAAATGTGGAATAAAAATTTGATGCCACTGTACCTACTAAACTAAAAATACATGACCAGACTTTGGCAAGGATATGGGGCAACTGGAATATTCCTGTAGCATTAGCAGGATACTAAATGATATAACCATTTTGGTCTTAAGGTCTGTTACAAAATTAGGCATCACTATCTTACGGCCTAGCAATTCAACTCTTACTTGCTAAAGATAAGTAAATGAAAACACATACTAACAAAAGCTGTGTGCAAGAACATACAGCAACTTTATTGTTCCGGGCAGTAATACAGTCACTGCGAACATGTGAAATGCTCAGAGAATGACAAAGCCAAATGTGAAATTCACTGTGGGATTCTCTTCAGCAGTGGACAGGAAGGGACACAGCTACCATGGGTGACCTCAGAAACACTGTGAGCAGAAGAACTGTGTGGCTCTGATTCTGGGAGTTTCTGGAATGGTCATGTTAATTAGCCCGGATGGAAGTCTCATTATTCCATGGTGGAAGAACAGTAGAACATGGTTGTCCCCAGGAGGGTGGGAGGAGAGAGTGATGGAAAGGTTGTGTGTGTCCTTTGTGGGTGATACTGGTGGTCTGCATCTCAGTGGGACTATGTCAGCGCTCAGCCAACATGGACTCAAATGTGTATGTTCCGTGTACGCAACCTTTGCTCCAGAAGAAGAGCCAAGCAGATACTAAACTCAGCTACTGAGCTGTATGCTGATGTGCATCACTTACATGCAAACCAAAAACACAAAGACAAGGCATAGGAGGGTGGCAGGCTGGTCAGCTGTGGGGTACAAGTACAGTGAGGACTTAGTGCTGAAATCCAGGGGAAGACACACAGCCTTTCACTTTACGGTTCTGTGTTGGAAAACGTAAGTGTTGACAGATACTTGCACTAAAAATTCACACATGCACAAGGTAGCAGCTGAGGCCTGTTCGCATGGAGGGGCAGATTAACACGCTCCTCTCTGTTCATGGATGTACACCAAGGAAACTAAAGGCTCAAAGGGTACAGAGCGGACAGTGTAAAGGTTGAACAACGATGTAAAGGTTGTGACTAATGATCACAGAGGGACCTTCTTTTGCCATTCATTACAGTGAGCAATTCACTAACTTTTTCCCAAGCGATACAAACAGATTTCTTGGTTGTTCGAGTTACAGAGATGGTTTTGTAATGATCTCTTGTGGTCAAGTGTTGAATGGAGTTGTCCGTGATAAGTAGGAGTTCAGGATGCAGTGGGAGCCCAGCTGTGTACCACTGGGAATTCTGGCCCATTGTTACACTTGATCTTAGCCAAAAGGCCGAGAAGCGATCTGGCCCATTGTTATTTCACCTCTACTTAACTGGTTTTTGCGTTATTTGAATCAACACCTTTAAAAATGTTTCATGGGGCATGTGTCATGAAGCCTCACGGCAGAGAACAGTTACACCATGGAACTGTTCTAGGCTGCCTCCTGGTGGTGCTTTGGGTTCTGGTGGCCTGATTCTCGGTGTTCTTGCGTAGCTGCATGCAGAGCTTCCTGTTTAAGGGTGGCTGTGCCGCACTGGCCTCTAAATAGCGCCTTAGCACCCTTCTGGTCTGCTATGGCCAAAAACCCGGAGCACCGCGTCACTGTGGACCCCCGAAGGAAGGCAGGCCCAGCGACCCTGCCCTTTAGAAAAGTGACAACTCCCTAACCTGGTGTGGTTCTTCCCAGAGTGATCACTTTTGTTCTTCGTGTTACACAAAGCAGCAAGCTTCCTGGTGTGTGCAGTGCATTTCAGCTGGCGATCTGCGCGTCCGTTTCCTGCAGATTGGGAGGAGGAACTTCAAAGCACGGCAGCTTTAAAGCGCCCCAGAATTTATTTTAATGGCACTTCCCCTGTGACAGAAATGGTGTTACTCACGGTTGATGGCAAGTTGGGGGATAAGTTCTCATTGCATTACATGGCAGGTGAAAGCCTGAGTTTTGCTGGCTTTGTGACAGTCTCAGGCATTGTTTTCCAAGGTCAAACATTCAGTGTGTTTCTCACCAGGCCCTGATAAGAAAGGACACCAGTTCTCATGTGTTTGTCTTCACGGCGACAGGAAGCCTCATGAGAGAAAGCAGAACTTGGAAAGGTTCAAGGTACCCGTGTTCAGTTGTCTACACTTCTTCGTACCTAAGAGGGGAGTTGGTTCTCGTCTTCGTGGCAGTTAATCCTCTTGAGGCGATTCTTGACCTAAAATTCCAGAATATTCCTACTGTGACTGGTGTGTCTTTGTCGTGGGGCCGGCGGGGGGGGGGGGGTCTTTGACCCGCAAATGCTGGATTTCGTGTGCTCTCAGCATAACACTGTGAAGAATTTTCACGAAAGTTTAAAAATTTTTGGTAGGGAGTTCTAGAAGTGTCATTGGATAGATAAGCCGTGTTTGTAAAAGTCTGTAATAATATCAATAGAGAATATGTAAGACTGGTTGAAGACAGGTATTTTTCCTACTATCTATCCTTTATTTTGCTATTTTTACTTTGGGCTTCTCATCTAGGAGAGCATTTAAGCTGGTATGTGTGATTTATCACAACTGGTCTCAGTGTGAGCCGTAGACTATGGAGTTGTAGACTCAAATACGCTTTGTTTTGGTATTGTTCCTGGCAGACCTTGCCAGGCTTTGCTTGAAGCTCTGCACGGGTCGTTGGGCTCTTGGCCTGGCGAGGAAAGGCGGGAGCCGCTGGGGACTGAGGGGCGCTGACTCCTCCCACACGCGCGCCCTCCCTTGCGCTGTGGCCAGCCCATGTTCGGGACAGTTCCTCTCCTCTGGCGACTGTGCCCTCTCCCTCCTCCAGTCTCTTACTTTGCAGGGCAGATGACCCCCAAGCCTCGCCTGTATTTCCTTATCCCCTCCTCTGTAAGATTTTGACTGTGGCCACCTGAACTGTAACCTCAAAGAACTACATTCCAGATTTTTTTTTTTTTTTGAGACAGGATCTCCCTGTGTAGTCCAGGCTGGCCTTGAACTCTTTGAATCCTCCTGTCTCTGCCTCCTGAGTGCTGGCAATACAGGTGTGCACCACCATGCCTAGCCAGATTTATTTTAATATGAAAGACAATGCTTGTGTGTAAACATTTTGTTCTTTTTTGTCTTTCTCTTGAAGTTCCAAAGATATTTCTAAAGAGTGAGGATGTCTAAAGATAAAGCCCAGTTTAAGCAGTGGGTTAATATCTTTAATGTCAGTAAGAGAAAAACAAGACTTACCCAATCATTGATTTATTCACCTTTAGCGTCATGATGCATATCAGTGTAAAAATCTCAAAACTCGGTCAGTAAACTATGAGTCTCTGAACTTCTTGTCTGGCGGTAATGTTTATTTTTGGAGGTGTGACATAGTGGAAGGGTAAATACTGCTTCCATTTTTTAGTGGACTTCCTAACAAGTTGCATTTTCTTTGTCCTCTTTAGAAAGGAGATGTAAGATTCCTGATCTGCACAGATGTAGCTGCTAGAGGGATTGATATCCACGGTGTTCCTTATGGTAAAAACTTTTATCTGCAGTTTAAATTCTATACAGTCTAAGTAAAGCTACCTCATATATCCTAAAAATTTAGAAACTAATGCCACTTGGTGACATTGCTTTTAATTTCAGTTATAAATGTGACCCTGCCTGATGAGAAACAAAACTATGTCCACCGCATCGGCCGTGTGGGAAGAGCAGAAAGGTACCCTGTCACCCCCTTCCCCTTCAAGCTTCTGATTCAGGAGTAGAGTCTAATTAGGACTTCTAACCCTTCCAGGATGGGCCTGGCCATTTCCCTGGTGGCGACAGAAAAAGAAAAGGTAATCTTTCTGCTGTTCTTTTTTTGTGTGTGTGTGTCTTTTTGAGACAGGGTCTCGCTATACAGTTCCGGCTGGCCTTGAGCTCACTTTGTAGTCCAGACTGGTCTTGAACTCACAAAGAGCCTCCGGCCTCACCCTCCCGAGTACTGGGATTACAGGCGTGTACCACCACGTCCAGCCATTCTGCTGTTCTGTTTTAACCATTGTGTGGCTTGTGATTGTAGACGTTGGAAGTAAAAGACTTTTTTCCATTTAAATTGGATTCAGTTACAATGGAATAAAAATGAACTCTGTATGACATCTTTTCTCTATACGCATTGAGTAGAAAAATAATAGGATGAGGTTTAGAAAAGAAAACTGCACTCCGTGGTTTTCCCTAATAGCCTTAATGTAATTATTTTCATGAAAAAACATTTAAGTACTCTGGCATGGTGCTATAGAAGGCTGCTGGGGGTGACGTACTTTAATATAATTGCAGACTTAACAGAAAAGTATCACCGAGTACCTCTTTCCCAAATTTGCCAGTTGTACATTTTGCCTTGTTTGCAGACATTCCTGCTTGACTTTTGATACTGGTCTTGGGATAGCATTCTCTAACTTTTACGTCCTAGCTTTATCTGATAATTCCTTTCTGTAGCTGACATCTATTTTAGGAAAATCTTTGATTACTCTCCGGAAGCTGAGCAGATCCATGTAGTGAATACTTCACAGCAGCAATAATTGGAGTATATAATCTGTTCTCCCAGTGCCTTAAGGAGTGAAATGTTCACAGAAGAAATTCAGAGTAGATCTTGAGTGTGCTGCCCTCCTTACCTGTCCTGGGCATCTGTCTGCTTGCTGCAGGTCTGGTACCACGTGTGCAGCAGTCGCGGGAAGGGCTGCTACAACACCAGGCTCAAGGAGGATGGCGGCTGCACCATCTGGTACAACGAAATGCAGGTGAGCTTGGCGCTGTGGCCCGAGGATGTGCTTGTCTCACGGTGGGAGAGCTAGACTTGGACCGCTGTCCGCCGTCTGGGATGGGAAGAGAAGTTTCGGTTAGGTCAGCTGTGGTTGGTAATGGCAGCTTAGGCAACCTGACTTGTACACCCAGCCTTCTAGGGCTCATGGCTTTATTTAATGCTGTTAAACTGCATCTTTGTCCAAGTGAAACTTTTGTTTGAGAATATTTTACTTTCTGCCGTTTTAGTTGCTCTCTGAGATAGAAGAGCACCTGAACTGCACCATTTCTCAGGTGGAGCCAGACATAAAGGTTCCAGTGGATGAATTTGATGGGAAAGTTACCTATGGTCAGAAAAGGGCCGCTGGGGGTAAGTGTTTTCCAGTCTGGCGTCCGTGCAGGCTTGGGTTTATGAAGGAGTGTGTGCGCGTTGTGTCTCAGTCTGTCCTTAGTCTGTCACGGAGCACTGCCTGTACTGTCTGCAGCGTGTGTGGTCCCAGTGGGTGAGGGAGAGAAGCTTAACTATCTCACATCAAGTGTGAATGTCACCCAGGTACTTGAGCTTTGTGTGGAATTATGGGGCAGTAGCAGTACAGTGTCAGCAGCCTGTAATGTAACTGTGATGGCCTGGTTTACGTTCCCAGTGCCTGGGATGCTCTTCACACACTTGCCTTTGATCCTTTCTGATTCAGGATAAGCTTCTAGTTTGCAGGTGGAGAGGTGGTGGGATGGGGGTGTCGGTGAGGCCTCACCTTCATTCACGCTGAAACGACTGATGGGCATGCTGGGGCTGGCATGCCTCACGGCATGCTCTTACGGGGAAGCAGTGTCGCAGTCACAGGACCAGCCCAAGTGTCACCTGCAAGCATGTCAGGCATGCCCTTGTGCTTTGTGTGTGATGCAGGTGGCAACTACAAAGGCCATGTGGACGTCCTGGCCCCTACTGTCCAGGAGCTGGCTGCCCTGGAGAAGGAGGCCCAGACGTCCTTCCTGCATCTGGGCTACCTTCCCAACCAGCTCTTCAGGACCTTCTGAGGGGGCGGGCTGCACTGACCCGCGCCTGCCGCAGCGCTCTGCATGTGTGCCAAGCCGGGAGCGCAGCCTTGCAGGTCAGGACCCCCCGGGTGTGGGCTTCTTCAGCAGTCGAAGCCCAGGAAAATAAACCCGTGGCGTGCATTTTCGTGGCCGTGTCTCATTTCAGAGTTGCGGTTACGTACTTTCCTTCTTTTCAAGTTGGCGTGTGAGCATCACACATCCTAGTTCTTGTTACCACCCCCCCCCACCACCCCGTCCTCCTGCTCTTGGTCCCTTTCCATTTGCACAAGATGTGTCTCCTACTTCCTGTTCTGTTTTGCCCTGTGTGTACTTGGAGTCTCCCGTGCCAGAGAACCCGTGCAGTGTGTAAGTGTCTGGTTTATTTCACTTCACATTCTGCTCTCAACTTGCACCCCTGTTCCTGCAGACGACTCCAGTTTGTCCTCACAGCAGAGTAGTGCTCCCCGTGTAAAGCACCATTTCCGCTGTTCCATTCTAAAAGTGCTCCGCGCATGAAGTACTGTCTGCGGAAGGTCCCCTGGGAACTCTAGCGCACGTCCCTACGGGAGCGGGCCTTCAGAGGGCTGCGGCTGTGCGGATCAGTGAGGGCTGAAGCAGTGCTGTCAGGGAGTCAGGCCCCCAGGGTGGGAGGGCGGTGTGTGGAGGCCCGGGCAGTCCGAGGCAGCGTGTTCAGGTCTGGGGCCCGGCGGCGAGTGTGGGAGGCAGTGCGGAGGTATCCAAAGGGTCTCTGCCTCTCCAGACACCAGGCAGCCAAGGTAAGAAGATGAATCTGTGACCCTTCCCACTCTAAAACCAGAGTTGTCAGTTCTTCAGAATCCACTTCTAAAGGTTGTGTCTTGCCTGAAACACCACAGGGAAAGAGGAAAATTTAAGTATTGTTCCTTTGTTCCTTTTGACTCTTAGTTTATAAGGTAGTCTTTTTTGAAAGTTATTCTTGCTGGAAGGGTTTCACAGAGCACAGGCTAAGCTGGTGTGGTGTCACACACCTGTACTCTCGGAGGCTGAAGCAGGAGGATCTTGAGTTCAAACTCAGCCTGGGCAACTTAGCAAGACCCTGTCTCAAAAGAAAAACAAAAGAGCTGAGGCTGTAGCTCAGTGCAAACCGGTCATTCACGCCCCAGCACCTAAGAAGAGAAGTGCATAGGTTGCTATAATTTGTGGTGGACCTCCAGCCGCTTGGCAATGACGTTTTCAGAACAGGTGAGAGTTGCGGAGGTAGCGTCCGTGCTGGCTGCGGTGCTGAGAGAGACGCCTAAGCCATCTGCACCCGATGCCGTGGAGCCCCCCTTTTGTGTCAACCCACTGACCCAGCTGCAGGTCCCTCGGTCTATACAGCCTTCAGGACTAACAGTTCCCAGTGTTCACGGCCCACCCCGCCCAGGGCGAGAACCACGGATTCACTCACAGCACCTTGCCGGCCCCAGGACAGGTCGCAGGACTTTAACTCAAGACTGCCGATTGGCGCAAATTCAAAACCTCTAATTGGCTTAAAATGGAACAAATTCAAACCCTTTGAGGGCCGGGCAGGTATCTGCCTGGAGCCGCTGAGGGCGTCCAGAGCAGCTGTCAGTCAAGGCACCCCGCCTGCTGGTAGTCCGGGAAAAGGTGCCTTTCTGCTCTGTCTTCAAGACTGCAGGTCAGGGTTGCTGGGTGGCCAATCTCAGATGTGATATCTACTCACCTTACACCAGGGTGCCGACAGTGAGAGCCCAGGTCCTCAGAGACCCTGAAGAGGCTCCCACCACATCCGCCCTTTTGTTGTCAAGGACAGGAGCACGCAGCCTTCTGATCTTGTGGGCTAGGGAGTTGTTTTGGTGCTTTGGTAAAAGGGTCTCCCCCGCCCCCTTTTTTTTATTTTCAGCTAAATCACAGAGTTGCCCAGGCTGGGCCCAAAGTTGTGGATCCTCCTGGTTCAGCCTCCCAGGGTGCTGGGATGACAGGCATGCGCCACCACGCCTGGGTACAGTGGCTTATTGCACAACCATAGTTACACAGTCGTGACAACGAAGAAATCGCGTGGGTACCGGACACACAGCTCACACACAGCAGACTCAGTCACCAGTTCAAGAACTGTGGGTGCCGTGCGTGCGCCGAGCTCTGCGCAGTTGCATGACCTCTGCATTTGTGTAGCCGCCTGGTGACCGGTTGTCATTCTCAGGCCCGCAGGCGGGGAGGCAGCGTCTCGGAGGCCCTGATACACTCCAGGGGTGCCGGGGCTGCAGCTCCATGCTCATCCCGCACCTCGCACCCCGCACGCTGTTCTGACACAGAACGCGCTTGGAAAAGCAGTAAGCGCGCGCCAGCGGTGGCACCGCCCCGCGGCCCAGCGCTGGCACATGCACACACTCCGCTGTGCCCGCTGCAGCCCGGCCCTGCAGCTAGCCCTGGGCGGCCCGGCCCTAGCGCATGCGCACTCTTATCTGTGCGCTGTGCGCGCTCTCGTGGAGTGCTGGATTCTCAGCCCCAGACGCAGCCACCGCCTTCGCGTGGTACAAGGGGCCCTGGCGCGGCACATCGGCGCCCTCGTGTGGCCAAACTCAGAACTGCGCCTAAAGGGGCGCTACGTAGCTGCTGGAAAAACGTGCAGCCTTGCTGCCCGGCAGGGACGCAACCGCGACGACGCTGCGATTCGTGAGGAAGTGAGCCGGCAACGAGCGCTGGCCCGCTGGGGGAGACAACCTCCTCCACCCTCGGGGCCGTGCGGCCACGGTGACCCGTGTGGAGATCCCTCGGAAACGAGAGCTGGAGGCCCGTTTCACCGCGCTGTGGCCCTGCTTGGAGCCTCCCGGACGCACGAGCGGAGGGCGGCACAGCCCCGCCCCGCGGCCCAGCACGGCCAGCAGGATGAGGGTGCCCGGGTCGTTCGCGGGGGCGGGTGCTCCGCAAC